CCAGCTGAACTTTGAATATGCAAATGTGTCAAACTATGAAAGTGACTCATATGGCCTTGAGATGTGAACTGTATAGGAAATGAGGTAACTGTAAGTCCGTTTATATGTTCGAGACTTATTTATACACACGATTTGAGTGACTCCTTAGAACTGGGGGGGTTGGTTATGGTAAACATCCTAAAGAAGTGATATAAAGATGAAAGGGGGAAATATGACCTTAGACAGATACAAAACCCGGAGGTTGTCTACAATGAAGGAGAGAAGATACTGCGGTGGACACAAGGGAAATATGGCTTTTGCCTGTGCACATGTGTGTATTTTTGTATGCTCGTCTACATGCGTTTCTGTTTCGGAGCAGCATGCGAACAAATATTTGTGTTTGTTACTCCCCTCTGGAGGTTTTGATCCCGTGCCATCTGGCAGCTCGTGGGGATGCGGCCCGTCATCTTCCTCATCTGATGACTGTTCTGCCCCCGTGCCCTCCCCTCTACACCCATCCACACCTCCATTCACCCCACTGTTCTCCATATCGTCTGATCTCTACTATCTCAAGCTCTTTGTGCCGCAAAACATACTGTATAGGGACCAAAGTTCACTTTTGGCCAACCCTTCAAATGGTGATGGATTGAGAATATGTACAGGCCATAAACAATTTTACTATGTAACATTAGGGTATTTTGCATGCATGAACTTTTATTAAAGTGAGAACCATTCTACATGTGTCACAACTTAATCTGATGGTAAATTGTCTTCTTTAAGGGTGTTGGAAAACCCAAAGATCTTTGATAAGAGACATGATATATCATTGACACAGTTTAATTTGCAGTTGCTTTGTAAAAATACTCGTACGAGCCAATTTTCTTGCATTTGGATCTCAGCGACAGTTAATTTTGGATCCTGCACACATACATATCTAAAATATGAAAATAAAAAGAATATATAAATATACATTGGTGGTTTCAGAACAGCAGAAAGGCTAGTGGAGGTTAACAGGAGTACATTCACAATTTTGTCTGTGATACCATCTGTTAATTGTTTTTGTATGTGTGTGTATAAATCTGATTATGAATGAGAGTGAGGGAGATTGAGGGAAGCAGTTCAAAAATTCTGTAATTAAATCATTTTCCTGTCAAACTTCATTATGCAAATTAATCTTTAAGCTTTTTGTCAGGCACTGGCCTCTTAAAGAGAAAGATCTATATCTACAGGAAGTGACACTGAATCAAATCACAATTATTTAGTCTAGCCTAGCAGTAGGGCTCTAGAGATCTCGTATTATTGACGATTACAGAAAATTACACTATGAGAATTCAGGTAATTATTTCTCTGACTGCTCATTTGAACTCATTCAGCTTTTTATCCATGATCCGTCACTCATTTTACAAGGTATAGAAAATAATAATCTGCACACTTCACTTCTCAGAGTCAGATACAGATGAAATGCTTCTCTTTACAGAAATGCATGCATGTGTGTGTGTGTATGTGTGTGCGTGTGTACACCTTATGATAGAAGTTTTGTGTGTGTTGCTTAGAGGAAGGTAAAAGCTGAGGTGAGTTTGAAGGAGACCTGGTCTTAAAAACTGTGTATTTTACCCATAAAGCATTTTTACATTTTCAAAAAAAAAAAAAACGTAATTATATGATTTATAAGTTCTTTTACTCATGGGGACCAAATAAATAAATAAATAAATTACAAGGTCAAAAATTACTGGTATTTCTGTCTTTGTGGGGACATTTTGTCCCCATAACCTATAATACCAGGACCACAATCATACAATCAACAATGTAAACCAAGTTATTTAAAGCAGACAGATCATATTAAGACAATTTATCTCAATGAGTAATTGCATATGCCTTAGATTAAAAACCTGTAATTCTAGGATGTAATTATTTTATAGGACTGTAAGAAGGGCAGCTAACTGAATGAAGGGAGCTGGATGAAGATTTCATCCAGCCATCTGTAATAAAGGTGTGATTCCACAGAGATATCCACAGTATATTCTAGACATATAAGATATCTTAATTCATTACTCTCTGGGAGTTGGCAGGGATTTGATAAAAAAAAAAAAAAAAGATAGAAATAAAAAGTAAATGTGAGGTATTTCTTTGACTGCATATATGACTATTTAACATTATTAAAAAAAAATGTAATGAGGATGATTACTAGTAGGGTTTGTCAAGATTAATTTGAGTAATAAATAATAATAATTATTATTGATATTATTTATTTATCAGTAATGTTTTATATTATCAATAACAATAAAACAACAACTACACTCAAATGTTATTTGTAAAGCACTTTCAAAACCATAAAAAAGGACCAAAGTGCTTATAACTCATACAAACATAAAATAACAACAATGAACAACAACTTTAAATCATCTGTTGTACAGCAAACCACTCGCATTTATCACTAATCAAATCCCAAATGCCTGATAAAGTAAGTCACTTGAAGTCACACAATAACAACAACTACAACAATAATAATAATTATCATTCATAATGATGATAAATAATAATAGTTATTATTATTATTAGCCATCATTCTCATGCAAAGGTTGTGTTTCAGGTGTGAGAGCTTCACTGCTCTGGGTGCCTTTGGAAATGTATATGGACAATCTTCCCCAGTCACCATTGTCACTTTTATCTACTCTCCACTGTTTGATGTCAGATTAGTCCAGGAATAACTAATTTTCTATTCTTCTGAATCTAGCACACTGAGGGAACTTGTGTGTTGTAGTCCTAGGAGGCAAACAATGCTTGGAGGAGTTAAACCTAATGAAAGCCTTTGATCCTGCAAGATATTAGAGAGAACGCAGGAGGAGGGAAAACAGTCAAGTTGGCGAAAATCTGAGTCGAAATCGCAATGCAAATGATATTGAAATGTAGGGATTTTGCCTTTCTCTCATTCCATTTTTTTAAAATAATTAATAATTCCAGTTTTGTTTGTATTAGTTTTAACCTAAAATATAAAGGCTTTTCTCACAGGAGTGGCACTCCATATTCATACCACTGAAAGTGCTATTTTCAAGTTGCACAAATTAAAATGTCATAATGCTACATTATAAATATGGAGACCAAGAACAAGGGGAGGGTTAGAAAGAAAGAAATTCTAAAAAAAGAGATGAATGAGGTTTTGTTTTTTGTGTGTGTTTGTTTTGGCCGCAGCTTCTTATTTTATTATGCTAGTTTTCCCTAAAGTAAAGAGAGTTTGCTAGCTGTGTCTAAGAGGCTGTCTAATGACTGCTTTGTTAGGCTGTCAGAGTTTGTGATGAGAAGAGTCGAGAGGCAGCTGACCTAAGTGTTCAGGATGTGACAGTAAACAGATGTCATCAGAAAGTGTTCAAAGTGGCAAACACGGAGAACAATAGGACACTGCAAAGCTTGTGCACACATGTTTTCTGCAGCGGACACAGCATCAGCTATTATTTTTTGGTTTATGGTTGATGCTGCTGGGAGAATGCAATAAGAATTAGAATATTTCACTGAAAAAAGGTAAATTTTACAAATAATTTGAAAGATTCTTCAAGTATCACAATGAATAAATCAAGACGTTTTGAATTAGAATGACTGAAATAATATTTGTAGTATTTTCTTAATCTACCTTAAGTGTTTAGTGACCCAGGACATCAATTATAACCCTCATCCTCATTCATTTTTTAAAGTTAGACATCAAAATTCTTAGCATTCCTCAGCCAATGCATTATAAACAATAAAAAATAAATAAATAAATAAATAAATAATATATATATATATATATATATATATATATATATATATAAAAAGAATGCCTGTTTTGCCTTTCATTTTTTGTAAAAATTAGGGTTGCTAATGACCCGAGGTGTGTAACAGTATAAGTATACATGTATATTTTTCCTGCACAACAATAATTTAATCTTTGATGACTAAATTACATAAGGTGGCAATGTCTGATACACAAAGATGAAGTGACGTTTCACTTAAAGTTACTGCAGAATAGAAAGTATCATCAGTAAAACTTGAAATGGCTCAGCAATTTACTGCAGAGCAAGTACTGAACACTATCAAATATTAGTGTCACTGTCGCTTGATGGTGGATCTGGTGAAGAAGCTGTCTGTTTGATTTTTCAATATCAAAATATCACTTTGAAAAATATCATTTTGAAAATGATAGTTCTGAGAATATGTTTGAGATGGCGAATATGAGCCAAATACTGAATGTACTGGGAAATTGGGACAGTGATGATGGTACAAAACATCTGCTCAAACTGAACCTTTCTAAGCTCTAAAAGGGCAACAAAATAAGCTTTATTTTGTTCTTGTGTAATTGTTACTCTAATGTCAAGAAAATGTTATAATATTATCACGACAGGCTTTATGTTATCCATCCATGTTAGATATATATCCGGGTCGCTGAAGACCCGAATATGTAATAATAACATTCATGCATTTAAGGGTTAAACTGTAATAATCTTTGTTTTATTTACAATTTTTATATATATATATATATATATATATATATATATATATATATATTACAGTGTATCTCATGAAGCTATAGTAGACATTATGCTCAAACAAGAGAACTATACTATAGCAAAAGAAAACATATTACAGATGCTCAATCAGATTGAAGCAGGTTTTTAAACATACCAAGGACAAACAAATATGATTATCACCTTGTAAAGAACTCCCTTCAGAAGATACTCTAATTACATTTACACTGCATAAGACAACAAATGAAATGTGATATAATAAAGACAAATTGTTCCCTTGTCATTGTGCTAAAGCAAATTATTAAAATATTATCTAAAATTTGTAAATTATTCATTTATTAAAAATAGAAACAGCATCTTATTTCACCCTACTTGTGCCTGACTTTTAGAATTTTACTTGAAAAAACTGCTCCCGTTACATGTTACATTTGACATCCCAAAACAATATGTACAATCTTTTTACTTTTTTGATTGGTTGATTGATTTTTACTATGTTTTAAATAAAATTAAATATCTAAAAATGTTAAATTGTAAAAAAAAAAAAAAGATATACATTGTTGGTAACCCCTTCTGGCCTATGTTTGAAAACCCCTGGGTTAGAAGCATTATTAGATATTAACATATGGGATCAGTATCCCAATGAAAGTTGACCATTTCTCTGGTTTCTTTGTACAGGAGTTTGTTTGTTCAAGTATTTGAAATTGGTCTATTTGAACCGGCCTGAGGGGCTCAGCTAGCTAGACTGATAAAGTGCAGGCCTGTTGCCTGGAGGTTGTTGAGAATGGACTCCCCCGTCCCCTCCCCTCCCCGCTTTTTTATTCCTTCCCCTCAGTTTCTCTGCCTCAATCTCAAGCAAAGCAAATAAAGAGATGTTGAGGAGGTGGCAGGATGGCAGGCCCCCCAAATGTAAAGTTTGCGCAATCACTCAGATACAAGTGGCACCGCTAAAAATTGCCCTCATACATCAGCTTATGGTTTACAGGCGCTGACAGAAAGGACGTTGAAAGGTCAGAAGGAAAAACATATAGATGTGTCAAAGCCTGCGCTCAGGGCAGCAGGACTGCAGGATGATGGGAAGTGAGATGAGCTCTGAGGGACTGAAGAAGTGCTTGATGGGGCAGGATTCGTTTCTCTCTCCCTCCCCTCTCGGTTTCTAAAGGAAAGCGGCGTGCAGGCGTCAGCACCAGAGACCAGGTACAGTTGGGCTGTAACCTCTCCCGCCGACCCCTCGTGACAAGACAGATAGCTCCATTCATCTGCAGCTGAGCAGCAGCGCGCCGCGGCATTTTTCAACCCCTGCCCAGGATGGATCTGCTCGCCAGGAGGAATGTCACCAGCCTGAATGCCCTGATCTGTCACGAGTCCACCATCCTCACCCGAATCACAGCACGGCAGACAGGCTGAGAGAGAAACGGAGGAGAGATAGAGACGAGCGAGTCAGACGATGACCGTTTGCCAGAAATGACAACAGATCATATAAACGACGATCTGCCTTTGGTGACCACGCGCTTCCTCAAACGCAAAACGAGTGAGCTGCTTTCAATCTGTGACAGTGATTGTAAAACATATTGTTGAAAATGATTTTGGCGCTGCAATTGCATACTGATGCTATTAAGCTCCAGTGAAGGACAGTGAAGGGATGGAGAATTTATCGGGCTGGTTGTTATCTTGCACTTTGCGCAACAGCTTCCATATTGATCACTGTTTACAGATATAATCACTCTCAGATTCATTTTTCATCAGTATGGCCTTCTGTATTGATTTGGTTTTACTCATGTCTCTCTATAAAGCCCCAGCATGAGTGCAAAACCCAGGGAGAGAATGAGTGTGGCTCATATTTATGTATGATTGCGTGTGTGTTCGTGTGCGTGTTCATTCAGGCTGTAATTCTGTTATGTTTTATGAGATATCGCTCTTTGTTTCTTTGTTAGCGTACAATGCAGCACAAAGGCTTCCTCTGGAGGAAATACAACCACTTGAAAAGAAAAATGTGATGGCAAAAACAAGTGGTAATGTTGGTAAGCACAAAATCAGAACAGATGCTTATACTGATAGATATACTGTATGGACAGAGAAGTCAGTTATATAATTGTTCTCTTTTTTCTCCTTCTATCTTATAGCTGTCCTGATAAATTGACCTAAATCTATACCTACATACTGTTTAAAAGTTTGGGGTCAGTAAGATTTATTTTTAAATAAATTAATTAATACTTTTATTCAGGAAGGATTCAGGGATTCCGGAATGTGTTCAATATTCAAGAAGAAATATTTATTATCAGAATGATTTCTGAAGGATCATGTGACACTGAAAACTAGACTAATGAGGCAGATGAAAATTCAGCTTTGCCATCACAGGAATAAATTATTTTAAAATACATTAAAATAGAAAACATGTCTTTTAAATTGCAATAATATTTCACAATATTACAGATTTCACTGTAATTGTTCAAATAAATAAACACAGCCTGTGAGCATATGAGACACAAAAAGCGTCCTTGTTAAAGTGTAATTAAACACTTAAGTACTGAATAATACTAATTAACTATAGGGTTAAGTTTTGATTTAGGGTTAGTTGCATGTAATTATGCATCATTTATCGGTATTACTATAGTAACTACATGCAATGCATAACAAGGATTCTGTAAAGTGTTACTAAAAATGTCTAGGTGGCATTTCAAACATCTATATTAAAACATTGGCCGATTGTGTCCATAAGGTGTAAAACTTTTAAGCAATTTAAACTTTGTTTCCTCCAAAACGTTCAAAGGCTTTGATCTGCCAACTTTCAATATTTGCCTTCATAAACTATTATTTTCCATTTAAAAACGAGTTATGATTTGCTTTAAATTGCAGCTTTAATTGCGTCCTTAAATTCTGATTCAAATTGCAATTCTGTATCCCGTTTGCTTCCTCGATTCAAATTCAGGATTTTAAATTAACCATTTAAAATGCATTCTCACCTCACCTGCAAATATAGATGCTCAGAGTTTTGAATATAAACTCACATTCAGCCATTCGTGTGATTCTGTGATTGGATCCACCAGGGTCCTTAATTGCTGCTGGGACACAGGTGGACAAGAGAAGACAAAAAGAGACAGTAATAGTGTGTAGAATAAGAGGCTGTTTTTCTTGACATAGACACATTCCTCATACTTGCTTTTTTTTCTGAACGGGCTTGTCTGTCATGTGCCTCTGTTCCATCTGTGCTGTTGTTACGTGGGGGTTTATGTCCCATTTGAATATGTGACTATCTCTCTCATAAAATGCACTTTGTGCTTGTCCTGGTTCATTAGCCGAATAAGCTGCATAAGGACAGCATGAGGAGAGGACAGCAAAGGAGAACGGAGAGGACAAGAGATGAGAGGACACATGCAAAAGCTGACATAATGCTGATTTCAATCCACATGAGAAAAAGCAGCCGAGGCCACATCTGGAAGCTGAGCGGGGCAGCAGTGCAAGAGCTGAGCTCAGGCTGGGCTTCACTGGCCCACAAGCACATGCCCATTTTATGCGCTGTTGAGGACTCCTAAGGAGGAAGGAGGGGCAAATACACAAACTCAGGGCTGCTCCTGTCTGTACTGTGGCTATTTGCGGACATCTATGCCCTCCAGTCAACATAACTAGCCTGCAGACCAAGTGTGTGATAAGTGTGTTTTCACTTCAACACTCACACACAGTATGGGTGGATAAAAGCATCAGTGGCCTCATTTGCTCAAGCCCCCCTTCTCCTTGCAAAATTAAAGAATCGGTTCCCTTTTTATTTATGAGTGTGAATTTGGATCAAATTACCCCCAACCCACAGGAAAATAATTCAACACAGGCAAAGCATTCTGGGAACTGAAGTCTCCTTCCATCTTGTTGTGTATACATATAGATACATGTATATATATATATATATATATATATATATATATATATATATTACATGATGCTTTTTTAAGGCTACGAATGTAAATGCTTATGTTAGAACATAGCAGAATAAAGATGAGTAACTTAGCTTTTTTTTTCTCACTTCCGCCATTGAGATAGCATATAAACGGCTATTCTGTCAGTGAAAGACTATGTACATGTTCGTTAGCTTTGCTATTATAAAGCTGTGGAGTCGGTCTTGCAATTTTTTATTTTTTTTGTATAGGCCTATTTAACCCTTGATCAAATTAATTAAGAGTCGCTCGTCTTGCAACAATGTGTAATGTTTTATGTGTTTATTGTGTGGGTTGCATTACTTCATGTTAATAGCTAACAGAAAAGGCAGTAGCAATAATAAATATAGGATATCTAATATCGGAAAAAAAGTCCCCATACCTACCTAGTGCCCACCCATTGAAAATAAATGCCCCCCTGCTAAAAGCGGTCTGAAGCCGGCTCTGTATATATATTATATATATATATATATATATATATATATATATATATATACCAAATACATAATTAATATATATATATATATATATATATATATATATATATATATATATATATATATATATATATATATATTATTTATTAAATAAAATATATATTTATTAAATAAATTAAATATATTCAATTACCCATGCACACCTGCGGGTGTTTAGGAGAAAGGACCAAAAAAAGTAAAAAAAAAAAAAAAAAAAAAAAAAAAATCTAAAACAAAAGAAAGAATCAAAAACGTTTTTCAAATAACATCCATCCATGCATCCATCACCTTCAAATGCCAGCTTTGCCAACCTGATTTTTAAAAATTGTGATTTTCAAGTTAGAAACAACATTAATACCCAGTGTTGTTCTTTTTTAAAACAAATATGAAATATAATCAAATCTAACAATTTGTATGTTTTCATCTAATTTTTAAAGAAAATTTTAAATGTTGCCATAGCAACTAACTGAACGATACCATGTTGTCATGTTGTGGCACAATGGCAAGAAGCTGTAGACACGACAAAGCGACCGATGCAAATCCATTTTAAATCGCACAAGCGCTTCGAGTACATCAGAAATAGAATGGGATATTACTGTCTGGAATTTGTTGTGTTTCATCACGCTGTACCTCATCCAGTGTAGACAGCATTACTTTTTATAATGAGCTTTTTATGCTTTTATCACGTTGCATTGTGCCACTTATTGCATCTGGTGTAGACACGGTGTCAAATATTAAAATTCCCTAAACTGAAAGAAAAATTTTAATGAAGCTAAATAGAAAAATTATTAAAAAAAAAAAACATATACAATTACCAAAACAAATAACAAAATTACTAAACCTAAAATGAATACAAATATTAATATAAATAATACGAAAATAACATGTTAATTAGATTTTCTTAATCAAATCTGCATCATATTTGCTAAATCAATTTAAATTGAGACTTGAATTAGAATTTAAATGGCAATCTCAGTTACATTTTACGTTCGTGTTAAGATATTTAACAGCGTGATGGATAGACATTAGAAGGTGGCACTAATCATGACGAAAGATTTAGCGCTGCTCCTCAAACACATTCAAACTGGCATTCAGAGTAGGCGAAACTGATTGGATTCCCTTTTCCTTTACACTTCAGTGAAACCAGACCACATTTAGATGTCAACCTGAGACTCGTGAATATGGACTTTCAAACTCCTGCAGAAGATGTTAAACTGCCAAGGCACTGCCACATGACTCTATTCTCAAATACTGTACATGTACACCACTCACATATACAAGTGTGCATTTACAGCAACGTTGTTTATACCAGTTTGATTTGATGGTTATGTTGGGCAGCTTTTACTTTCCAAACTTTGCAGCCAATAAACAACGTTCTTTGAGCTTTGAGATTAATACATCCATGAATAGTCTGGCGGTGATTGTCTGAAAAATAAACTTTGTTGCGACTTTTTGCAAAGTGTTTATTATGGCAGAGGGGAGAGTGTGTGTCTGGGAAGGGAAGGGGAGGTGAAGAGAGGGAAAAAGAGGGATTTATTTATTTGGTTTGATTTTCACTCCTAATCTTCCCTTGCTCATGCAAATGGAGCGAATACGGAAGGTGGCGTAGTTATCTTTCTTTACATCAATAAATAAAAGGCTCCAGTAGACCACAGGACCCAGCTAATTTTCCAAACCAGTGAAGAGGCTTTTATATGGGGAACACCTCTTCCATCCCACCTCACTCTTTCACTCGCTCTCACTAAAAGCTCCGCCTCTTTCATTTCCATTGCTGTTTCATCTGGGTTTTTTTTTGCCTTCTTTGCCACCCACTCATCATCTGGTGTGTGTCTGTCTGTGTGTACGTCACATATCCTCTAGTGTATGTTGGATGGAGTGATGGCCTTGTAGACCTGTGCTGGATTTGGATCATGTTCCTGTTAGGTAAGAGGGCGATGTATTAAAGGCCAAGCTGTAATCTCCTCTGTTCCATCTAATCTCCTCATATTAAGCTTCTCCTGGACGATAAGATGGCTGGGCCTCCACCTTGGCCGGACAGCTGACGGCCAGCTCTAACTACAGCACTGGACCCGGGATGACACACCCACACACATAAAACTCTCTTGAGAGGAGATTAATTGCTCTAAAATTAAGCCTGTGTGTGTGCTGTGACCTTTAGGGTCACTTTCCTTCGGTATGATGAAGCACTGTGGTCCTTCAGTCCTTCAGTATGACCCAGCTTCCCTCATATAGCACCATCTGCAGTGCAAAACACTCAGCCACACCAACTGGCCTTCAGAGCAGGTGGATCACAGGAACAAGTAAGCTTGTGTGTGAGAAAGAAAAACTTATACAATACTCTTTGCCATTATGTGAATACACTCATTTCAATAGTTCAGGAAGGACGTAGAGAAGATAAAAGCAAAAGTTTATGAATTGATGCTCTCTCTTGTGATCAAACCTTGGGAATATGAGAATTGGATGCATTCTTGCTTGATTTTAAAGTATCACGACTCTTTCACAGTCTCTAAACAATCTTCAAAAGAGTAGGAAGCAGTTTGCTGTTATTGTTTTTTTTTTCAGCACATATAAGGTGCATATGTGTGATATAGTAGTAGTAGTAGTTATTTTATAAACCAATATCCCTTATCTTTACCTGTCTATCTCCTAAGATTGTTCAACAGCACCAAATAGGCAAGCAAGTGCCTTCCAATCATTCTGTCTTAAAAAATACACCTTAAAACACACAAAAATGCTTTCTAGACATGTAGCATGATACAAAGGACATTGCACTATTGCAGCTTTGAATAGCCTTCGGTTTGCTCTGCGGCCCACTCATGGTCTCTCTTTTATTTTTATGTGTTTTGCAACTGGATTCCTGCGCAGGCAACCCAAGAATGTGATGAAAAGTGTCGAATCTCTGGCCAGGCCACATGCATGCAGACATAAACAGAGTGCCTAATGACACTCAGGCCTCGCTACTCGGCCACTTTCAACTCAGCCCTAAACACTAGCAGCTGGGCCGAGGTGGCACCAGAGATGTTTATTGGGGGGCTTTAGCCCATCAACTTATTGTCAACAGTTCAAGAGCTTGTCAGCGGAATCACCAGATGTGTAGCGAAGAGAAAGAGAGAGGGTAAAAAAGAACAGGAAAATCAGAAAAGCTCCATGTGTCTGCCTAAAGCTCTTGGAAAGTCTAGTGCTGGTGTAGTCATCCCAAATACTGTTTCTCTGACTTTTTATTTTTTATTAAAGCTATGCTTCTGGGGGTCTCATCAAAAAATGATATGGTGCAAATCATGTTCTTAGTTTAAAAACATGACATTAAAAAAGAGAGGGAGAGAGAGGAGAGCAAGAAAAATAAATCAATTATATTTTAATTTTTTTTAAAAATATTTAATTCACAATTACCCTCGCGCACCTGCAGGTAATGGATAGGCGTAAAGGAGAAAGGGCCAAAAAAGTCAGAAATCAAAAACAAAAGACAGAATCAAAAACGTTAAACATGTTTTAATTTTCTTTTTTGAAAATGTTAAAATTATATGTCAATTTTAATATTTTTTATGATTTAATTTTTGGCTATTCATCAACTCATAAAACCCCCTGCAGTTCCCTCCTGAATGGCAGCTGAAACCCTGAACTGGAGCTTCAGTAATGTATTTACAGAGTAATGCTTAAAAGGACAATTTTAATTAATAACTATAATGTGTCGTTGCAAGCACCTATGCAAAAAAGTAACATACTGTAAATTTTAACCTATAACGGCATCAATATGCAAGAAGGTGGTGAAAAGTGATTGTCTATATGAATCATTGAACTGAATCATTCAGAAATTAAACAAGTGACTATAGGTGAATCATTGGCTGCATTAGAAATCACATACAGGCAGGAAAGAAGACCAACAAACAGTATGTGAAAAGTGTA